CACAAACATATATGCAGGGAAGCTTTGCAGGGATATTAGTATTTAATAAAAAACAACAAAAGAATGACTGCTCAATTTCTTAATGTTTAAAGGGAAATAAGATCCAAGTTAACCTTTTGTTGGGAACTCAAGAAGAAAAGGGTTGGAGTCCTGAACTCTTACAGCCCATGATCAAGGTTAACTAGCGGGTTATAAAGTGTTGGCATGCAAAATGTCCACCACCATCAGTGCACAGCTTGAAGTGTTGATGAAGAGCCTGCAGATTGACTTCGGTCCCACATAATTACAGCAGGAGGTAACAATTCTGTTAACTGGGCCGGATGAAAAGGCACAGTTTATCTTATCCCGAGATGTGTGAAAGAATGTAGAGAACTCTAGGTAGTTGGGGGGGGGGGGGGGAGGCTAGGAAAAGAGGATAGGAGAGAAAAAAAATTTGGCTGCCAGAGACATATTTCAGTGTGACAGCTTAACCCCAGACAGATGCTGTCTACAGGCTGTACCCCATTGGCCTGATGCCCAGGGTGTCATCAGGTCTATGGAAGGATCTCCCGTGCCTCACAGGAGATATGCAGTACTATGATGATCCCTATTCACTGCTGGGCCAGACAGCAATAAGCCTCATACGTTTTAGAGACACCTTATTTGTGTTGTATTTTTTTATTACTGGTTAATTAAACAGAATCACGGACAGAGTGAGCTGCTGCCTGAACAGATGGCCATGGCTCTGCCATTTCCTTGTGAATCTCAGGTGGAAATCAATCCCTGGGCCTCAAGTGTCTCCAGAGCTCTGTGTGGCCTCCCCATGCTCGACTGAGTTTCTTCTGGGAGGTGTACTGTTCAAACTATCTGATAAAATCCTGGAAGATGTACATTGAAAATCAGGGGAGAATACTTAATATTCTCCAGACATATGCCTGATATAGCATGACACAGCTGAAATTCAGGATGTGTGCTGTGGGCCCAGACATGCGTATTCCAAGGACAAGGGGGCTGGAATGTAATGAGCCCAAGTAAATGCTCCAATTAGCAGAGGCCAGCTGAATATGACTAAACTGATTAGACAAAAAGAGCTAACTGGGCTGAAAGATAGTGGGTGGAGTGTCCTGAAGGGCCAGCCTAAAGCTTAGGGGTAGCATTAGTCCTTATTATTACAATGGGTATACCCAGGTTCAGGGTTAGCGTTAGCCCTGATCGTTACAGTGGGTATACCCAAGCTTAGGGTTAGCGTTAGCCCTGATCATTACAGTGGGTATACCCAGGTTCAGGGTTAGCGTTAGCCCTGATCGTTACAGTGGGTATACCCAGGTTCAGGGTTAGCGTTTGCCCTGATAGTTACAGTGGGTATACCCAGGCTAATGGTTAGCGTTAGCCCTGATTGTTACAGTGGGTATATCCAGGCTCAGGGTTACAGTTAGCTCTGATCGTTACAGTGGGTATATCCAGGCTCAGGGTTAGCGTTAGCCCTGAACGTTACAGTGGGTGTACCAAGGCTCAGGGTTAGCGTTAGCCCTGATTATTACAGTGGGTATACCCAGGTTCAGGGTTAGCGTTAGTCCTGATTATTACAGTGGGTATATCTAGGGTCAGGGTTAGCATTAGTCCTGATCGTTGATGTGAAACCCACTATTCTAAAACTGTTGGTCACGCAGAACAATGATGTCCAGCTGGTGACAGAGAGAGGGAGTGAATCCTGCTTCCATGTTTCTGTGTGTAAACAGACGTGGTACAAAGTGGGCAAAAAACCCATCAAATTAGCGTGTATAAATCTCCATCCTAGCGACTGGAGAGCCTGCAGGGTAGTGCGCCATCACTGCACTCTATGGACTGTGTAGATCCATCCAGTTCAGTGCGATAAGCTTCCCCCACCCACATATTAATTTACAGCAGAGCCATTCAAGCAGACAGCCCAGAGGGAATGGCATTGAGATTCCCCTCACACGTCCAGCATCCTCACCAGAAATGCGCTTTCATTGCATACATTATGCAGTCCAAATGAAAGCTTGTGTAAATCTGTTGTTGAATGTGTGGGTGGGTGTGTGAATTTTCATATACATCAAATTCTGTTTCTATAGCTAAGAAACCATTTCTAACCCAAATGGAGATTTTGTTTGACAAAATATTTCTCGGGCATAAGTAATGTGCTTAGGGGAAATTTATTTTAGTGTGAGATTATTGTGTTGGAGAGATAGAGAGAAGCCTTATTTTTCTGAAATATATTAAGGAATTTTTATTTATATGTCAGTTTCTGGTCTGGAAGGAGCACAAAGAACACTCCCTAGCTCTCCTAGTTTCTGCTGCCTGATGCAGAAAATCTGGACGGTTAGCCAGCAGTAATGCTAAGCTGGGGTCAGCTCTGGATTCTGTCCTTCAACATTATTAACCCCAAATGGACCAGGGGTGGTAACTGGATCGTATAGAGGGTTCATATCTCTGCCAGGATAACATATATTTAAAATGGGATACCTGGATAAAAATGCTTCATTTACACCAGCATCCCATCTCAGCCTTGTGTCCTATGCTCCTATAGGGTAGGCTCCAGTTCCCCCATCAAACTCTACTGGATGGATGGACATACGGAAGCTTACTTTATACAAATAGTTATGATAGTAAGGTTTAAATTTTGTGAAATCTAATCATTTGAATTCCATTTCATTGATATCAAATTAATGATGATGGCTGCAGGGACAAACTCGCTGAACTTAACTAAAACAGTCCATAGTGATACTGTGGTACTGCTGCATGTAAGGATATATATGGGATACAAGGCTACATCTAGAGAGAAGGACCCCATACACATAGATGCCAAGGTATGCATTTGACCAGTGTTTCTCAATCCGGTCAATGGGGACCCACAGACAGTCCACGTTTTTGCTCCCTACCAGCTCCCAGCAAGGAGCAAAAATGTCGACTGTCTGTCAGGGAGCTCGGAGGGAGCAAAAACGTGGACCAGCTGTGGGTCCTTGAGGACCGTTTTGGGAAACACTGCATTTGATAATCAGTGTGTCAGTGAGAGGGACCGAGCGACTGCAGTGGGCCAGCCAAACTTTTCCATTCAGTGGTGCGTAGTGTTTCCTCGGTGAACCACAGAGAAGTTTCCCTTTGGCTGGAATGTGTGGCACATTGGTGAGGCCAGTGCCAGCAGGTCCCGCTCGCTCCATGGCCTTTTAAATCGGCTTGTTCGGCTGCAGTGAGAATCTACTCTGCCTGACCCGAGGGCACCGGTCCAATCAGCTCGCTATCTCCTGAAAAGAACTCCATGAGAGTGACATCTTTCCACCTCATCAATAAATGATGAAAGCCACTTTCTACCTGCTACTTGACTGTTTAACTTATTCCTGAAAAGGCCCATTCTTTCTGGCTGCTTCTATTTCTTGCCGAAATCAATATAAGTGGAAGAGGAATGACGGTGATCCTGGAGACGCATTAGCTGGTGCTCTCAGGAGCCAGACAAAGCTCTAGCGACTGGCAGGGAGAAGGGCCTATGGGGCCTGCTGTCTTTCTGCAGCAGAGCCTAGAACACAGCCTCATAGTCTCATACAAGGGAAACCAGAACCTCACCACCTAAACAATCTCTATTTCACATGCATAATTCATCCCCAAAGACAGCACAGAGATACGCTAACACATGGAAATATTTGCCTCGTGTGTTACTGTGCTTTTTAGCCCCAGCTACAAGTTATGCGCAGGCATTGGCCTAAATTAAGCAGGTGAAATAACAATATTGTAAGAAAGTGGAAGTGTTTACTCAACAGTTCACATCTGGAGGGTGCAGAGGAGATGAAGGGAGGACACGAGTCACACGTCGTTCTGAGAAGAACCCGGGACATCTCGGGCGGAAACAGATTTTTATGTGAAGCGTGTCCTCTCAGGCCTCGACTTCTTGGGAAGAAAATGCTACTGCTTTTCATTTGTAGCATAGAGACAGTGAGAGTCTCATATTGAGAGAGCTCGTACTGCAACCTCCACTCTGCTCACATCACACAGGAGCAAATCTGTGAGGCCAAAAGAGGTGGGGTGGGGGGGCTTGAAGCACTGAAGCGGGAGATGACAGCTCCTAGGGGCTTTTGGAAAAACTCATTTGCTACAATGCAAAGAATAATTTAGAAAATAAAATAAGCCAATGAGCTTTGGGATTTATTCAAGGCTAGAGAGCAACAAATAACAAGTGTGCTTGGATGGCCAAAGCCAAAATATAGATTCTTGAGAGACCTGTTCTGTGAATCTCGGGTTGCTGTTAAATGATGAGTAGTGAGGAACAGTCCTCAGGGCAGCTACACCAGGAAAAGTTTCACTTCACTAAGGTGAAGGGCAGCACAAACACAAATACTAAGTTAAACCCCATCACATCTTATTCACTCACTCAGCTTTCTTACTATAATGTTCCTTTATTTCCAAAGCAGCAACATTAGTGTTTTTTTCAGTACTCATTTGACACTTTCTGATCTCCGCAACAACTTTCAAGCTACTAATTTCCTAATTTCAGCTGTCTTCTCGCTGGTATGAAACTTTACAACATTATAACAACCAGCTTCTGACCACAAACATACTGCTGCCTAAAGAAAGTACTCAGCTGCTGTTAGGCAGGGCTCCAAGCGCAGGGTGTGGAACAGCAGTTCTACTTCTGTGTGGAGCTCACATCTGGTCTGCTAGTGAAAACTCACCACATGCTTACGCAGAATCTTCACCTTCCAGCTTGGTATCACATGTTCTCTTAAATGCTGTCAGATCCAGGAGGTTTGTAGAGGAGGACAGAAAATTCCCACACCTGCCAGGTTGGCCGAGTTCCATCCAAGGGGTGGGGATTGGATGTTGGCAGGGCTAACAGGCAGGGGCTGAGTCAGGTTAAGGAGGCAGGTTAGTGCCCCACAGCATGCGTACGCTTGGCAAGGAGAGCAGGAAATTAAATGACAGCCCTCGTTAAGACACTGGCACCGCCTCTGGCTTGCTAATTTATGCAAATTGAGATCTGTGGGAAAAAGGGGGGGCGGGGAGGTGTCACGAAATGGCTGGCAGCCAGCATCTAGCTGAGAAAGACACTCAAGTGACGTTCTTTCGTCTGCGTTGCCGCTCTCTTGGGCTGGAAAGTTTCACTGTGGGAGCTGGGAGGCACAGAGAACAATAATGTAGGCAGATGGAGTGTGCTGGGTTTCTCCTGGCAGGGCGGGCAGATGGGCAGCCAATCAGGGGCACTTCCTGTTTTGCCATGCTCGAATGCCATTGTTCCCAACCTTGCAATCTCCTGCTTTCTCTCCCTCTACTTTGCCGCTGCCCGGGAGGAATTTATAAACATTTTGCCAGCGGATCAATACCCATATTGATCAACCATTGTGGGAGCAATCTGTCTCAAGCCTGCAGCTCAGAGATGGGAGGAGCAATGGAGGGAGGCTGCGGAGAAGAAGAATTAAGGGAGAAGGAGAGAGAGAGGAAAAGGAGAGGAGCTCCTACCTCAGAGAGAGGGAAAAGAGGTGGAGAAAAAGGTAAGGTTATCTTTGGGAATAAGATAGGAAGCTGGAGGGAGCAAAGCATGTCTGGACCACCTATGCAGAAGGGACTACTGGGACTGAGGAAATGCAGCGTAAGCCGTTTCTCGTTGGGGGGGTTTCTAACGAGAGGAATTACGCGTCTCCACGTTTATTAGCATGGGGGGTGTTTCCATTGTAATTGACAGATGAGGAGAAATATAGAACCTGGGATGGGAAGACGATGAGTGCTGGAGCTGAATGGATTCCCACACATGAGATAACAAATGCCCACTATAGAGCTCACGTCCGTCACCAAGGTGGACATCCAGATGTGCTGTTTCTGCAGGTGAGTGGGGAAGAGCACTGTTTCCTTCTTTAATCACTACCTTGTTCTGATACTCTTGCGTACAGTCACACTTTGAACGGGGTTTGTCTGTAATGCTTAAACACTCAAGACTGTAAATTTGAATGGTGGCGAGGCTCTATTATAAAATCTTTGCTGAATTCTCTCCAACACATTGTGGCTCCTTAACAGATCAGGAAATGCCCTTTTTAGGATCATAAAATTACAAAAAAAAATGATGCTGTGAAACTTTAAGAACAGTATGGGCAGCACTGAGTGTCCTTTCCATTGATGATGGCCGTCAGTACAGTATTGTACCTGTGGAGAGTTACGACTGGACCGTGGGACTAAGTACATACTGATGCTGGTTTCTCTGGACCACATCTCTGGACACAAAGCTTCTGCTGAATGAATTGTAGTAATTCAAGTCAATCAGGGTTGCAAGGCGGAGAGCCATTTCCTGACTGAATGATATATGGGTTTGCTTGGGACCTAGAAGTTTGGAGTCCTGGTCCTGGAATGCAAGAACTGTACCAAGGAGACTACTACAAAGCACAAACAGTATTATTACTGCTGTTCTGGACCGGGATACAACTAAGCATGAATACTACTGAAGCTGAATACTAACGGTCTTGGATACCATTAATCCTGAGCTGGATGGATGCTACAAGATTTTCTCAATTTGAGTGGAATAGTCTTGACAATATTGCACTGGTGTTGTTCTGGTGCAGGCCTAGAGTATGGAGAGTACCTGAGGGACAAGGGATAAGCTTGCCCAAGCAGGGTCTGTAGTGAAGATTAAGGACATCCAAGGTCTCGTAATGGATATACAACTGTAGCTCACTCTACGGGAATTTTGTTGGGCAATATCCTGGCACAATGCTGTCATCCTGTCATTCATCATTTCTGTTTAAGTTGGGGATTATTTACAGAGGGGTTCCTGGATTACTCCAAGTATATGATCTACCATGGAGAACTGTAGAACTTAACCAAGAAGAGAACATTCTATACACTGAACACTAGCACATACCACTAGCTGCAACGATCCCTCCCCCAAGTCAACCATCCATTTCTCACACACAATACCTATATTTTCACATTCTTAACTATACAAGCAGCAGTATGCAGGTAAAACATATAATCAGAGCTGCATATCCAAACATGAACTTCAACCACAACAATTCAGCACACAACAATAAAACACAACATCAGGCAAAAGTAAGCACATGACTATAGTGGCAGACAGATCGAGACAGGAGCATCACGTATCTCTCTATGTGTTTTCAGTACTTTTACTGTATTAGAGTTTGGTAATAGAGGTTACTGATGTGGAACAGAGAGGGATAGTGGTGTAAATGACAGCAAAACCTGTGAACAGAGTTTGGCCCCCATATCATATTGGGCCCCCAGTCCAGATCAATCCAGTTATTCTCCAAATTTTTTAGGGGCCCTGTCACTCAGGGGCCCTTGGAATCGACCTAACTCCCCCCCCTCCGCACAGCTGCAGTGATCAGAGTGCTGTTAATATGTCAGCTGTTTTGTTTTGCCAGAAGAATCAGTGGAAAAACAATGTCTGGTGTTCAACAGAAAATACACACCAAACTTTTCTGTTGTTAGTTCAAAAATCATGTAGCATACCAGCGGGCCACAGGAGAGCTCAGCGTTTTTGCTGCTCAATCGTGTTGCTGGTGAAGAAGAATTAAATCTGAGAGGAGACAAAACACAAGATAGCGGTGTCAAATGTCTGTTCCTAGAAACAAACGGAATCAGAACAGTATGACGGGGGGCTCAAGCAGAACACAGGAGACTTCCAAGATACAACCAACAACATCATCTGAACAAATACTGCCCTTTTTCTAGGCAAATACCCAACAAAGAGTCTGCCCAAGTAACCATGCCAGAGTGTGAGAAACAACTATAATTCCAAGGCACATGAAGTTTTATATGCGACAATTACGGTATAAAAATTTTAAATAAGCAACATGGTGCCTATCTGGTGCCAGCCTCATCTGGTGGAGGGATGGGGGGGGGCGCAGTCACACGTAAGACTTGTTGGTGCTCCGTGGAAGAGGGCCGAGCAGCAACAGCCATGATTTCTGGAAGACATTCAGCATCCCTTTTCCCCAGAGTCCCCCCCCACACACACACACCCCACCCTGCTGCCATGCCCTGGGGTGCCTACCAAGAGTGATTGTTTTTGCGGCCACGAAATTAGCAGTGTTGCAAATTTATTTTGTCGTGCTCAACTGCGCTGTAATTAGCTCCAGGCCCAAACGAGAGTCACACCCCACCCCTGCATCTGAGTGACAGGCCAGCAATGATTCAGCAAGAGCAAGGGGAGTTGGGACTGGGGGGCCGGCTGGAATGTATTATACACACAGTATTGGCAGCACTCAGGTTCTGCAGGTCCAGCTGGCAGTATTTTCACTTGTGCCTAGACACAGAAAAGGGCACATGCCATTGCTTAAAAACACACCTTAATATAATTTATATGTTTGCCAAATACTCATGATATACTGTTCTGCCCCCCAAAAAATGAAGAATGACCAAGAACCCTCAGTTATTCATGTTCCTATGGGAAGAAAATGTTGCTATAGGAAGAAAATGGAGTGTCCTACAGCCAAAGCTTAAATAAAGTATTTTCATATTTCAGCGTGGCCGGAATTCCTGACTCCACCCAGAAGGGCCCCTTCCAGGCAAAAGCATTTCAGGCTTGTGATACAGGACAAACATCAATATTAGAAGTACATCTACCAGATCATCAGTATCTTCCGAAGGAAAGGGCACAACAGACATCCTGAAAAAGACACCATAAATAAACAAGCTTTCAGATATGCAAGACCATCCATTTTCAAAAAACTGCTTTTCCAGTGCAGGGTCACATTGCCGAAGACGTAACTGTGGCAGCTAATTAAGACAATGTGATTTGCAGAAAAGGTTATGTGTGTGTTTGAATCAGAGGAAAATGTCTCAAAATCGAAGTGGTTACATAGTCCATGACATCACTATCAATAACAACAAGAATAAGAAATGATTATTCTTTTAATTATATATTTGGAGAAAACATGAAAGCTTTTTGTACAGCTCATTTTTCACATCCTCATACCCAAACTTAATTAGTTCAAGCAGCTAAATTATTATGTGATGGGGCCAGTTATTCATACCAGAAAGGGCAGCTTAAAGCGGTCTGTAGCATTTACAGGAGTGATCTATGGGTCATCTAGATCCAAGGGAGATAATGTGTAAGAGTGTCTTTATGTGAAACATAGTTTGGGATGACTTTGATTGTATGAATGTGCTCTATTTGTTAGCATCTGATGGCCTTTATGAGTAGGAGCTCTCTGTTCTATTGGATTATCCTAACTGCATTTTCCCTGTGACAAAGTGTATCTGAATGGTTTTGTTTATTTACGGAAGACAGGCGTGTCTGTGTCCTCCATTCTCAATCTACCGAACTGACCTTGGGCTGACATTATCCTGCGGGGAATTCAAAACATCACTTAGCGCAGGTTATGTGAAGATTACACTCACAACCAGAGGAAGAGAACAAAGCATGAGAACACTGAACGAACAGCAGAGAAAGAGAACATTAAACTTACAACAAAGGAGGAAAACAGATGGAGAACAGAGGAGATGATTTATCTTAGAACTGAGGAGGAGAGCAGAGAAGGAGAACATTAACCTTACAAGAGAGGAAGAGTTCAGAGGAGGAGAACATTACATTTATAATAAAGAAGGAAAAAGATGGAGAACAGAGGAGAAGATTGATCATAGTGCAAGGGAGGAGGGTGGAGAAAGAACATTAAACTCACAACAGAGGAAGAGAACAGAGGATGAGAACATGAAACTCATTAAGCCTATAACAAAGGAGGAAAACAGATGGAAAACAGAAGGAGAAGCTTCATTTAACAGCAAAGGGACACAGAACAGATGAAGCTGCCTGCCTTCCATTGTCTCTTGGTTCTTGTTTGCATACATGATCCTGCAGGTCTATGCTCACATATACTGTAGTCCTGCATCTCTGCTGACTTGGTTGCACCTCACTATCTGTATCTGCACTAGCTAATATCTCCAGCTATCTTTTAAAAAAATGTTCTTCGCTTTTATTCAGCTATAACAAAATGAACAACCTGAACCTTTGTGAAGCATTTCTTTGCAAAAGTCATTTATATTACCCTTCTCTTTGCTGTCTCTATAGGGAATCTGTATTATGCAAGCTTTCATATGAGAATATCCTCACAAAGCCATTACGCTACAGTGAGTTTAATGAATGACACACGGCATCATGCACCCAGAGCATCCTCAGCCCTGTAGCACAGAAATCCACTTTATTCATCTGTCTAGATGTGCATCTCTCTTTATCTTTCAAGAAGGATAGATAAATAGATTTCTCCAGTCTACGTTTCACGCCAAGGTTACAAATACAGAAATGAAAACGCTCTAGAATGTGCAGGACGTGGCTTTCAAACACGACCCTCAACCTACAGCAGACTGACAGCACAGGACAGCATAAGTCCATATGCACACCTGCTTGCCACATAAAATTTGTTTTCCTGTTTTTAAGAGAGAGACTTTAGGCTTTATGATGCGTACTAGCTTTCATGAAGGAGGTACAGGAGGTGAGGTTTAAAATGTTATATTTCCATGATGTGCCATTCTTCCCACTTCCTGACCATTGTGCGAGTGCAGAAGGCATTGTCTGTCCCCTGCCTTGTCTGTGCTCCCCAGAAAGGCCACCGCAGGGACTACCGCATCTTTTATTAATCAGGGGCCTTGCAGCACAACCCCTTTATCTAATTTAGCAGCCAGGGGTGGGGAGTGGGGGCTTGGTTCTGCAGCGATGAGGGGGGCGAATTTGAACCCCTTGGTATTGTGAAGGACCAAAGGAGCGGGGGCACGGGTGGGGGAGAAATGACCTATCAGACGCACTCACTGCCAAGCTTTCTGGATGAATCACAATACGGCAAATTGCCTTCTGCTGACAAGAAAAAAATGACGGCAGCCCCGCACGAGGAGAAATGCGATGGCTGGGGTGAGGTGACATTTTGATTGCTTATTATGCAAACCCTGGTCACCGGGGTTCAAAGAGCCTTCTTCTTGTTCCATCCTGTATGTAGTAAAGACGTCACAGAGAGGAGCAAGCATAGGGGTTCAGGAGGGATTCAGCGGGGCTGGGCTGGTAAGAAGACGCCCACTGCCCACCTCTTCCCGTCCCTGCAGTGGAGAAACATCCCGAAGGTTGAATTTACCTGCGTGGGGTGTAAAAGTAGCCGTGTGCGTGTGATAAAAGGCCAGGGGACAGGGAGACATGGACATACCCCCACGCCACATGCAGAGACGCTGCACGGTGACCGTGGGAAGATGCAGGACACACTCCCTGCTCCTCCTCTTTCTGTCTTCGCCCACCACGTTCGATGCCCGCTCATGCTTCCCCCCCACGGACGAGCGCTCACCCGCCTCACGTGTGTCACAGTCGAGATGAATCAATGTTATGATGCTGAGAGCACTTACTGTCAACCCTGCTGCCCCAGGCCAAGGCACTGATGGACACAAACTCTAAAATATTAGCCCCCTGGGGAGACATCAGTCATGCGCCGCCCAGCCTAGGCGTGAGGTAGCAGGGTGTGTGCGTTGGCAGGGGTGCCGTGGGGGCCAGGGCGGCAGCATTAGCACAATGGAACAAAGCAGAGACACATCTCATTCGCTGGGATCCCTTAGCTCTTGAGGAGCTGATAACAGCCAGTGTGCTGAGGGAGGGGCTTAGACAGCTGTCTGGACACAGAAACTGGAACAAAACACGGCCCATTTCTGCTGCTGCTGGCTAACCTGAACATTCAGGCACCAATCCCCCCCCCCCCGCCAGGCCAATCCTGATCTTCAGGAATTAGCTTCTTGGCTGCTGAGTGTCTTCCTGCAGATCCATCCATGCACGCGCGCGTGTGTCTGTGTTGTGTATGTTATTTCCTTCCACACTCATAGATCATAAATCTTATATTGTTTTCGAAGCCAAGACACGCATAAACCCCAGGAAAGTGTAAATGTAAATGTCAGAGTACATGCCGTTATGAGCCGAGCGATTCGGAAAGCAGCGCCGGTCGCGCCATCAAAGTCGGCATCGTTAGCAAATGCAGATCAATGCATTCCTGATAAGCCGGGTGTGCGTGAGCCATTTAGATGGGCGAGCCATTCCGACCGTGACCGGCAAAGCCCACCCTTTTAATACCGCTGCGATGTGCAAACAAATAATACCCCGTGGGCAAAATTGGATCTTATACATCCCTTGACGTCGCGGCGACTATCCATTTTGTTTCGCTCTCTTATACATCCTTGATGCACACAATCAAGGTGCATTAGCGGCCCTATTCAGAGAACCAAGGACGAGAACATTAGGAGAGGACACGGCATGTGAACCGTGCCGTGGGGGCGTGGCGGGCGGCCCGACCGGGGTTCTAATGACACTAGTTTACTGTCGGGCCGAAGCGACACATCGGAAACGGCCGTGAGCCAGCCCCTCATTTCAGGCCGATGCCATTAAGGCCCGGGCACTGAGCATATTAACAGCACGCACAGCAGGACCCTGCGTGTTGCGTGATGACATTACCCCTCAAAGCCTCAAAATGCAGCTTTTCAATCAGCCTTAACTTTCAGCATTGCAGACAGAAAAACAACAACAAAAATGAATTTAAAGTGAGATGACAGCAGACTAATTTTACATCAGCGTATTTACTATTTAAGAGGACGTGCTTTTCAATTATTATTTCATGTGCTCATTAAGAAAATGCAAATAGAGAAAATAAGGTAACAAAAGAGATACATCTTTAACAGGCTGCTGCTGACACTAGGCTCACAGCTTTCAGCATCTCGGTAACGTCCCATGACTGAAGCAGTGGGGGTTTTCTAAATTGGCCCCCTATCTGTTCACTCCACTCACATTCATACCAGTAACACCCACTAAGGGACTAACAACACAAACACACACATGTCAGCAATCTCCCTCTACTAGCCTCTGCCACCGAGAATGATCTGTAACATCTGATGAAGGTAACGGCAAGCCCACTCTGACAATCACGTGACACGCCTCATCTGCGCATCGGCCAATGGGGTCGGGATCTCCATTCCTTAATGAGAGGGACAGAGTTTGTGACACAAAAAAGAGGGAGCATGAGAGATGGAGAGGTATGGATGAACAGGTACAATGAGCCAAGCAGGGGGAAAGACAAAGGATGAAGGGAACCAAAAGCCAACTAAAAGGAAAAGAGACAACACTGAGAATAACCACAGACTTATTTTAATCGTCCCGAAGATTCTAATATTCTTTAAAATATGCAAATATGCTCTTCAGTAGATTAAGCCACACATGAAGTTAATCATAGTACTTGTCACCTCTTACACAGCATCAGGAAATGCTCATCACATACTACACAATCAAGCTCTTACTCATTTCTTACAGCAACAATGCTCAACTAATCCCCTATCTGAGCAATCAGCAAATATAGGGATTCTGCTTATTATTGTTGTATAAGCTTCATAATCTTATTTAACTTTGATATAAATAAAAAAGGAGATGTAATTACTGTTCTGGACGTGATGATAGACTGGCTGGGGTCAGTGGAAGAGAGATGGCTCTCTCTCTCTTTCACATTCCCTCTTTCTGTTCTCTCTGTCTCTCTGTTTCTCTGTCTCTCTCTCTCTCTCTCTCTCTCTCTCTCTCTCTCGCATTGCACTTTAATTAAATCTTGTAATTAGTTTCTCGGCTGGAACTTGGAGAAATGGGATGTCACTGGAAGCAGTACTAGAGGTAAGACAACCTTTTTAATTGCCCTCAACAGTCCTGATTTGTGTATTGACTGGTGGTGTTGTTGTTTAAGAGCCCATACATTGGGCAGCCAGCTCAGAGAGGCAGCACACGACTGCAGGATTACACACTGCTAAGTCAGGCTAAGGGCAGAAGGGGCAGCGACACCCCAGACCCCACCACTCTCCGCATACCACCTTAAACAGTGAATCACTCAGCAGTGATTGCTAATTTCCACAAAGGCCACACTCATCTAATTACTCAATGAATGTTGGCATTCATAGTAACTACACACTCCACCAGTGACCACACAGGTCTAGAGTAACGACACACTCCATGAGTAACCACACAGGTCAAGATTAACTACACACTCCACCAGTAACTGCACAGGTCTAGAGTAACGACACACTCCACCAGCGACCGCGCACGTCTCGGTTAACTACACACAGGTGCACAGTACCTACACACTTGTAGAGCAGCAGCTACAGTGTTCCACAGTGCATTGTCCATGTGACATGGCTGGGTGGCCTGCAGGGACTCTTCTCGCTACTGGTCCTTTGGTGAACTGCACACCAGGGGCCATCTGAGCACAGGCTGTCACAGACGGATAGCAGCTGAGACTACAGGGCTGATAGGATGGCAGACTATAAATATGAATATCAATTCACTGTCCCTTTAGAGAGTAAAAACACCAGCAAGGACCTACGGACCGTATTCAGTCAGCAGCTTCTCAGAGGGTCATAATAAGCCGGTAAAGACGTCAGTCATGTTCCAATAAAAGAAAGCAGAGCAGGTCATATGCATCCTGTATAAACAGACACACAAATTATGGCCAGACGTAACCCCCCCCCCCCCCGCCATCTCTTTTCCTTCTATCAGTTGGCTTGGCTACACCAGACATCTTTCCCTAATCAGCAGACTTGCCGTGCGCAGCCCGGTTACCATAGTGACGTGCCTACTGGTCGACATAGCAACTGCTTTCAGGTCCACAATCAAAATGGTAGCAAGAGAGAGAGAGAAACGAGTGAAAAAAAGATGTGTGTAAAATGGAGACCCCCTATGTTACACACCGCCTTAAAGATTGAAGTGTTGTGGAGGAAAGGAATACAGGAACACAAAAAACACTGACATGATGATACAGTTCTGTATTCTAACACAGTGTCATTAAATGAATGCATGACATAATTATCCATTTAATATAACTGCTAACTAAGCCTAGGTATAGTAAGAACATATTAAATAATATGTATTTCGTGGAGGTTATTTGGATAGTCCGCCTACAGAGGGTTAACAAAGTATTTGTAACATTCGATCAACTTAGTTGAGAGTCAACAATTCAGCTGTTTTGCCGCG